TGTCTGACATCTACCTCTTCCCACACAGTGCGATGTTCCAACCTTACCCGCAGCTGACTCACTCTGACTCCATCTCCTGGTTAATTACAGCTCGTACACGTGATGTCCCCTCAGGCCTTGAGATTCAAGCCATTGCTGCAGATCAACTGTTCCCGAGGTCACTGTCTCCTTCCTCACCGTCAACTCTGATTGTACAGCTTATCCCTGTTTATGTCTGGCAACAGACAGCTGTGGTGTAATCAACTGCGTGCTCACATTATCTAACTCCGCTGCCTCTCCTACTGGTGTTGTTTTAAACGATGCATTACCTTTCCCCTAGTTTAAACGATGTATGAAGTTCCTCTCCCAATGTTCAGTGACTGAAAATGGTGTTCTGATCTCCTCCTGCCACGATCACCCCTGTTGATGTACCACCTCCAAGCACCTCCTCCCTCTTTTAAGCTGTATTCAGCTTACTTCAACGTTTTTTTACTTCTACTGACGTATTTCTGTTAATTCCTGAACATCAAGCTCCTGTCAGCTAATGTTTGGAAGAGTCAGATACACCAGCTAACATTACAGATACCATTTAGCTGTTTCATGGCAATATCAGCTAATTCCACCTCTATTTTAAATTAATCCAACTTTTACAGCCTAATCCAGGAACACCAAGCCCTACCCACTTACTTTTGGTATTTTAAGTTTATTTCTGCTTGTTTTAGCTATTGGTCTGCTGGTCTTTTAGTTAATTGCCTCTGCTTTTTGACACCTCCCATAAATTGTGCATTTTGTCTCTGATATTGATCCTGTAGATTTTCCACAGGCTTCACATGTTCCACATTTATGAGTTCCACACCTGATAACAACATTCACACACTCAGGCATTCAAATATTTTATTTTCATGCACTTCTGGCCGCAGTTGTAATAAAACAAACCAAAGTCTGTGGGATGAACCAACCCACAGTCCAGACTTGTCCTTGCCTTATACAACAGCGCCCCCTTGCGGTCAGGATATGGAAGCTCCACTCACACACAGACACACACAGAAAAAAGAGAAAAGTAACCCTTCGCTTCTGCCCCACACACAGTTCACTCCCCCTTCTTTTTCTTTGCTCCATTGTTACGTCTCTCTCAACGTGTCCGGCCTTGAAGCCGTTACACAACATAAAAAACATGGCGCAAACAAAAGTTATAACAACGTCCTAAAACTAATGCGATCCCTGATCACATGAAATTTGGTAAACTCTCTATTCTAAAACATTTCCCCGTAAACTATCTAAAAATGGAGTACAATCTGTGAAGCAGTCCACACGACACGAGGAGTACCCGCGCCTCAGTCACACCCACAAATGAGTGGCCCTTAATTCCGTCAAATTAAAGGATTGACGGCCAGCTCCGCTGAAAACTGGGGAAATGCGTCGGTCATCACGTGACCCACCGGCAGGCTACCTCGCCTTCCTCCGGCCACAAGTAAAACTTGTGAATCTAACTCAACACTACCTAAACGTAAAAGAAAGCGTTCGGCGCTTAAACTGTCTGAATATCGTAACCCACCTCGTCAAAATTACACGAATCACCGGAAGTTAGCTTAAATAAACCATCTTTATTTTTCGGAGATGGCTGCATGCACACCAACAGAAGAATTTGAATTTAGTTTTAATTTGGTTTACGGCCGAAAAGCCAGAAACTCCCGACCTTAAGGTCCAAACAGTTAACCAGCTTACCTGAAATTAATGGGCCCAGTTCCTCTGTGTGTGTACCGTAAGCCACCTCGATCCAATTCAGTCCAGGCCGCGTCTCGCTGCACGTCGGGTCACCATTTTGTCGTGGATGGCTACCACGTCGTGTTCAACACAGCTGAGACGTCGCCCTCGGTATAAAAGATTTATTTGACAAAACATGGGTTACAGATATTCAGAGACAAACAATTACAATAATAAGATATATGCATATAAATGGAGCATTAAAGCACGAACCGTCTCGGTGTGCGCCTCCCGGAAATGCTCGGTGGGCGTGTGTCATTTCCGGCCTTTTATCACAGTTTGAGAAGGCTAGCTTTCTGATTGGTTTAGCTTCTGTTGCTAGGGTTACGACTCTAGCCCGCCCTCTCAAGGACGTTAATATCTACATTTCAGATAAGAAGTTCTGCCTCACTGAAATCGTTCGTTTTAGCTGTTTGT